CAAAATGGCCGCCGCGACAGTCCATCGGGGGCGCGCCGATTCGTCCAATAATTATTTCAACGATCCTTTATTAAATGGGACACCCAGCATTAGCGTGAACTCCCAGCGACACGCTCTTTGCCCATAAAATGTATGACCTCGAGTTAAATTAAACCCACATGTAAAAATGAAAACCCTGTCCGACATTGATCCCAGCGAAGGAGTCGTCGTGGTCAGAAAATGAATATCACTTACAATTAACCTGAGACGTTAATTTAGAATTGATTAACCGTTGGGGTTAGCTCAAGACGGCACAGAATGGGAGAAATAAAACCCAGGAACGCGGAAATTCAGCCAAAAACGCGTCCGGATTCGCCGACGACCTTGTTTGCAGACCATTATGGTGCACTCTGCGGCGAAGCCGAGATTGGTACACCATGGAGAGGAGACTTCTCTCTTCGAGGTGGCTTCCAGCGGTCGAAACCGCCTTTAGAGCCCTTCCCTCGTGGGGGGGTGAAAGTAGAGAAGGCCAGAAACCGCACATGAAGTCTCCCGAGGAGAGTAACACAGAGGAGCCGAAAAAACAAACGGGCCGACGCCTTATGTATACGGTGCACGAGGCGTCGGGACGCCTACGTGCGTTCTCCATTTTCGCCGTCCTCCCCCTCCTCCTTCCCGCTTTCGAGTCTTTTTTCCTCGCATCGCGAAGCCACCCTCAGGAACAAGCAACCCTTCTTTGCATTTTGAATGGACTCGCTGGCTGAAATATTGAGCACTTTGCTGCGCCATAGCTTGCCCAAGAGCGGGAAGGTTCAAGGAAATATAGACGTCTTCGAAGGAATCTCCAAACCGCGGATGTCTGGCTCGAAAGGGAGACGGGGATGCAGGGGGTGGATCTCGTTAATGCCGCATCCTCCCCACGGAGGTCTGCGTTCGACTGGCGGTGGAATTCCTGGAGGCCCTCTTCATGGTCCTCTTCAAGACCCTTAGAATCCTCCAGGAGGTTCCTAACGCGCTCAAATCCCTATATTAAACGTCGGCCGGGATGCAATATGTTTGCATTTCGACATGTCGGCATCCCAAGGGGGGATATCGGGAGGGAGACCCTCAGAAAAATTCCGGACGCGTCTGCGAAGGGGCGCAACCCCCTTCAGAACAAACAAGCCGCGTTTAATACGTCCTTCCCCTCTTTTCCGCGAAAACGTCCAGAAATCCAGGATGGTCCAGGATACTCATCCTGTCTCCCTGATTTTTTTCTCCCGGGATCTCGACTCCCCTCTTTTCTATCGAAGCTTTCATTTCGAACGACATTCACGGAGTCCCAGCCAAGCGGCGCCATTTTACGATCTGAAGGACTGGATAGCGCTAGGAAATCCCTAGATCATCCGAGTCCTAGGGACCCTCTCTTTCGGCCCCTGCCAATCTCGCCCAGAATCCCACCCGAAAGGACCGTTCGAAAATCGAAGCGAGAAGTCTTGGAAGCTCTCTGGTGATAGGGGAAAAAATTTGCTCTCCGTTTACACTCTTCTAATGAAAGTTAACCTCAAATTCAAATTCAAATACATGCTGGAAGGCCTCCGTTGGCCAGGAACCGAGACGCCGAGTGGTTCGAGCAACAATTTAATTCCCTGGAAGTTCTGAGGGAGACTGAAGAAGAGGCAGATCCGGGGGCAACCACATAGAAATCTCCCGACTTTCCGCAAGTCTCTCCTGAAAATCGCGTGACCGCAGGACTCGCCGTTCTCGTGGGGTGTCTCCTCGCAAAGGGCCGCGACATTCCACCTCCCACCTCCTGTGCACCTGTCTCGCAGGAGGACATGCGCACCTGTCTCGCAAGGGACACGCGTACACCTGCCTCCCTATACGTGTCTCACGTGCTGGGGGGAGATCTATACCGACCGGTGTCGCTCGAATTTCCGGGATTATTTTCTATCTTTCCCGTTTCTCGTACGTGGCCGACATGTTAGGTGAGCGGGGAACCTCCTCCCCCATCACGACTGTCGCTCGAATTTCCGGACCGATTTTTTACCACCTCGTTTCAGATATGTGGTCGAACTTCCACCTGTACCGATAAGGTTGACTTCCTTTTTTTTTTCATCTCGAGTTACGAATGACGAAGAGAATTTTGGTCTTAATATCTCTGGCGGGGGGGTGGGACGAGGGAATTCTTTCTGGGAGATCTAGACAGGATGGAAGGACCTCTTTCTCTCCCTCTCCCTTGCGTCGCAGGACCTTCGCGTCCTGTCGGGAAGGAACGTGACATCAATTTCCATCTAGCCCGCACTTTTCCGGCCCCAGTTCCGCGGGATCCCTCGGGAAGGTCCTTGGACTACCGCAAAAGGGAGTCCTCCGAATTGGCTACGTTCACGTCCGACGGAGGGAGAGGAAGTCCAAAGTCACGAGGTATCGGGATTTCAGGAACCTCCGGGACCTCCAGGACTTTCAGAACTTGGACTCGCTATTTCCTGGGCGAAGGACCTTCCCTTTGGATTCGGAAAATCCTCCCTCTCCCTTCCGAGGTCGCTGCTATACCAGAATGATAGAACGTCGCCTATCAGCTGATCGACGTTCCGCGGCTTCTCGAAATAATCCACCCACTGGAGCGAATGCGAATGGAAATGGGATTTCTTCCTAATGTAGCCGTCTCGTGGCGTTTCAAAAATAAGGGAAAAGAAACATGGCTGGGCTCCGAAGGACTTAAAGTGGCTACACGTAATTCGGCCATAATTCACGGGGCGTCGGCCTTGGTGTTCCTTGTTAACCCTTTGCCTCGGGACCCCGTGAACCTAGACCCGGATGAAAAAGCCCGTCCTTTCGTGCACGCCACCCTTATTTCGTGATTCCTCACCTTGCCCCCGCCGAAACGCCATTTTAATATTCCATGGTGATTATAGTGCGCCGCTCAAACGAGCTCCGAGGACCAAGACTTCCGGTTAAGCCGGCTTTGACCCGCCAGGATCCTCGACCGATCAATCGTCGTCCTGGTTAGTCATTAGCCATCATCGATCATCGCCTTTTTACGGACAGCACTTATTGAAATACACAACCCAAGTCGACGGTATTATCATGATTCAAGCATGAGATATAAGACACGACAGGGTAAGACAAAGGATATCGGACACCCTAGAAGAGAAAAAATGGTCCTAAAATTCCAGAAGACAGATGAGGGGGACTTTCCCCCAGCCACTAGAGGGGATTCTGCCGAAATTCCCCAGATTCCTAGCTGGAGATTTCGGGTTCGCTGCGGTCCCTCGAGTCAGTGAAGGCGGAAAAAACGGTTTAGTGGCATAAGAACGCGGGAGTGTCGCCCCCGCCATATTGTGGTCAGACGTCTCGGCGGGGGGTCGGAGATTTACAGCGGGGCGGGACGAGGGGAAAGATAAATTCCTGCCAGAGTACAACCCCCCCTCATTCCGTTGGATCCGTCGGGTGCGGGAGCGAGACGGCGGAAAAGTCGGCATTTTTCCGGAGCCGCGGCGTATTGTTCACCTCCCTAAGGGTGGCAACCCCGGGGTCTGCTGGCGATTTCTATTGTCGAGAGGCCGACGCCATTGCGGGGCGTAATTGACGTCGCTGCGTTCCGATAACGCGACGATAACTCGGCGATAAGCGCACAAAGGGCGCCCTTTGGGGTTGAGGGGAAACACGACTCGGGGGGAGGCACCCCGGCGGCGATACGGCCACTTGCGAGGTTCCATCCCTGGACCCTTTGCACCCTCTCTAGGGTGCTCCAAGTTTCCATGGAGGAATTCGAAAATCCACCGTAAAGACAGATGCGTTTCCCTTCCCCCATTCCTCCACCCTCTTTTCCAAAATAACGTAAATGTGAAAGTTACCCTATTTCTTTGATCCAAGATGCTGATGTCGTAAATGAAATTTTACGGAGGTCGTAACAATGATACGACTGATAGTAAATAATAGTGGAAGGTGGAATTAATAATGCGGGGGGGGGCTTTCTCAAGCCGTCATACTTTTTCTCAGTCTGACAGTCTTCGGCACCCCTCAGACGCGATGGGCGAATCCCCGGGAAGTCGGAATCCCGAGCAGAGGGTCGAGATTATCGAAGTTGGGCCGAACTGCGACGAACCACCCTCAGGATTAACACGGCGGGGGCTGGTTACTCCGCCGGGGTGGTTACTGCCCCGGGGGCTGCGGGGATTCTCGGGGGCTGTCGGAGCCGACTAAGGACTCGAATTAATTCCGCCCGCCGCAGTTTGAATTCATCCGCGACGGCTCTGCACTTCTTAATTATCGGAATTATCCTAATTATTCGCCTGGGCGGTGCGCCGGCCCCGAAATTCCCGCCCTCTAGCGGATTTCATGGGGGGGATGGGGAAGTCGAAAATTGGACCGAAAGAAGCCACTCGACGCTGACTAGGGAATAAAGGAGTTCGTCCTCCCCCTCTGGGGAAAAAGATGTTCCAGGAATCGGACGCGGGAAAAATATAACGAGGGAGGGGGCAACACCCCCCCGAGAGAGAGATCCCCGATCCTCGCTGTTTGCTCCGATAAAGATTCATGGTGTCTCTCGGTGAAATGGAGAAAGTTACTCCCCGCGACTTGGTCCGAAGGAAATCCCTTATCGACGCGGATAAGAGGGTGGAGAAGGGGACAACCGCCCCCTACCCCCCGGCTCACCGAGCCGAGAAGTGCGCGGACCGAGTTTTCCACGATATTGAATTTTGATTCGATCCCCCGACACCCGGGAATCCCCTCCCCCCGGATGTCCTTGGGCATGCGAGTCGACGACATACGTCAACGCGACGTCGACCTGAGGGTGTCGCGGGATCCCGGGGGAACCGGGGTCGACCAACTCGTGACCCTGGGGAATTGCCTTCGGATCCTATGATAAAGACCCCTGGAGATGGGGAGCGGTTCCCTCAGGGTTCCCCAGAAATATTTACGGGGGAACATCAGCTCATTGGCTGATCAGGAATCTCATTTTCGCCCTAAGTGCAGGTTGATGCGGTGATGGACAAGTGCAAGGGAACTGATGAATGGGTTTCTCTGTCTGCTTCCAGCTGGTAACATGCCGATGGGCTTCCCGGTGATAACGCAGGCCCCGATCACCAAAGTCGTCGAGCTGGGCCACAGCGCGATGTTGTCCTGCACCGCCGTCGGCTCCCCGACGCCCATCATCTCGTGGGTGCGCGACATGATACCCATCAACACCTCGGACCCGCGGTACACCGTCCTGGAAACCGGTAAGTGATCGCAAATCCTACCTGTAGCCGCGTGCTGATAAATTTAAGGGATCCTCTCGTTGCATCCGAATGCTTCTCAGCAATCCTGATACCACACTCGCGCTACCATTGCTTCCTGACAAGTCCGATAACGTGGGAACATGGACCTGGGTTTTTGGGTCCGGCACCGGTGGGCGAAATTAAACGTGCCCAGGTGAATTGTCACCTTCGCGTCGCATCCAGTTGATGCTCGGCAATCCTGCCGCCATACTCGTGCTAGCATCGCTTTCTGACAACTCTGATAAGGCAGCATCATGGGCACAGGGGTCGTTTTCGGTCTGGACACTTGCGGGCAGAACCGGAGCCCATCAACGTCCGGCCACGTATCGGGCGAACATGCCCAGGTGAGCCATTACCTGCGTCGAGCCATCCGGACGTCCCATCCGAGGGCACGCAACACGGGATACACGTAGAGAGGACATCGCGCTTCTGAGACCGACCCTCTGTACGTGGACGCGCTTCGGTGCCGGCGAAGTGCTCGTCACATTGGGGGGTGGAGGGATACCTCTGACGGGATATGTCGCTGTCGGGTATAGTGATCGAGTGGTCCGGTCCAGCTGCGGACACCTATCCCTTGTGTTGCAAAAGACGAAACAAAGATGGCGGCCCATCACCTCCCAACCAGCATCTCGACTTCCCCCAATCATCAAAACGACCTAGCCCCCCAGGAACGCGTCTCACCATCACATTTCTCGTCGATAATTAATTTCACATCGACGGAAACTTATTATTAATTCAATATCACTGATGGGGCCCTTCCACCAAAGTGATTGGTCGCGATAGGATCGGGCCGTGGTTGTCATCGCGGTGTCCTCATTTGCATCAGACCAGTAAGAAGGGGGATCTTATCAGAGTCGATAAAGGCACCGTCGCGATTGGAACTCCTTCTCACCAGGAAAGTGGATGACCGGTACTCACGTCACCCGGATATCGCTTGGGGGGGTCCCTTCTGACTCCCGACCTCCCCCATCGCCCAGGACAGGACCTAGGAAGAAACAAAGAAGGAAATGAGTGGAGGGAGGATCCTCATCGCAAATTTTACGCCGCGATTACGATTCCCTCCTCCTCCCCCGGCGGGCATAAACTCGGGCATAAAGGGTAAAGACTCCCCCCTCCCCCCATATCGGTATACACGATCGATCTTATCGTCGATCGTTCGGTCTGCGCAACGATAGTCGCTAATAGTGTCGTCGCCATAATCGTTTTCCCTATTTCCTTCCCCCACCCCATCCCTCCATCACGTGACTAGCTCCTTTGGGGGGGGGGGGGAGGGAATAGAAGCGCGTCCGACAAACCCCCCTGCGGCACGTAACCCACATGCGTCTGCAAGGTGCGATGTACCTGCACATAGCCCGGCAGGTGCGCTGAGCCCCTGCAGGGGTGCCCAACCCCCACCCCCCGTGAAAATCCCCCATAAAGTGTTCAGGGAACTTCCTGTAAAACCTAGGAAGGGGGGAATTCGATCCGAGCCGACATGTATACGTCGATTTCCACCTATATATAATCCATTGTAAGGGTGTTTCGAAGAGGGCGTATGTGGGGGGGAGGGGGGGGAGGGGGATCCGCACCCAATTTCAGAGCGGAGCTCGCGAGATGGCGAAACGTCGATATTTGGTTTTTACGTCTCGGGGGAGCGGGAGGGGTGCATCGTCGATTTTCCACGGATTTTCCACTCGCTCAGCCGGGGGAAAGGGGGGGGAGGGGGGGCAACATTGAGAGCCCCTGCGAGCCGCAGCGCACTTCGCTCCGTCACTCCCGGCCCTAACTTTATTCGCGTGTCTTCGCCGTATCCCTGTACACGGAGCAGCCCCACCTTCGAGCTCCTCCTCGCCCCATCCCCCNGCCCCCGCCCCCGCGACGTGCAACCACCCCGTGGCCCATAAAATATCTAGCGCAATGTATCGCGAAGAGTACACCGGGAAGAAGGGGGAAAAAAAAAAAGAAAAGAGGCAGGCGAAGTTCGCCGAAGGCGCCCGGGACGAGCTCTCCTCGAGGGGTACCTGGTGGGCGGGAAAGGGTGGAAGTTGAGGGGGGGGGGCAACTGCCCCCGGCCACGACACGGTCCCTCGGGGCCCCCTCAAACCGAAGTTCCGCATATTCCCGCAACGAAGGAGATTCTCGTAAGTTTCTTTAACCCCCCCCCCCCGCAGCAAGTTCCCCCCCCCAAGAAGGGGGCTTTTGAAAAGCGAAGGGTTTCCTGGCCCCAAAAAATCAATCGCCCCGGCAGCTGCCACCATAAACAAGCCTGGGGGTTAAAGCTTCCCAAAGAAGCGCGCTACCTCCACCTTGCCCCCCCCCAGCCTCCCCCTCTCGTGGAGGGACTTTTAAGGGTAGCAAAGCCGGCTTTCACCCCGCGGCGGCACGGGCGGAGGTAAAATGCATGCGGGATATGAAACTTAATATATCCAGTCATTAAATTATATTTTACAACCCCTGCCCCCCTGCCCCCCGCCCCAGCCGCCGCCCCCTCCGGCAGTCGCCAGGGCGCAGTTAACGCTTCGTCAAGACTCGTAAAATTTCATCCATTAAGCTTTGGCTAAACTTTGAAACAACCGAGCGACCCCCCGGCCTCCTGGCACCCCGGGTGGGGCTGTATCCCCCCCGTCTTCTCCCACCTCACATTTCACCCCCGCGTATACGTATTACGTACCGCGTACCTAACGATACGGCCGCCTTAGCACCTGTGCTGAAATTTCTCCCCTCTGGCTCTTTCCTTTCCCGAGCCCCCCCCCCCCCGTCCTCCCCCCCGGCTCCGCCGACGCGCGTAACCGCCCCTAAACGTATGCAGCGCGGGTACATTAACCCCGTAAGACCCCTTTATAGGGGAGAAATCACATCGAGAAGAACCCCCCAACGTCGCGGGAAGAATCGTCGAAGAAATGAGGGATTCGAAAAAGTGTCCCCCCCCATCTTCAGATACGTTTCTGCCGCATCCGCTGAAAGGTTCGCGACGGTTTCCGGGATTAAGGGCGCACCTGTGCGCGGAACCAGCCCCGATGTAAACATATTTTGTATTTGTATTCCGCTCGGATCAAATCTGCCTCCTCCCCCTGGACCACCACCCACCTCCCCCCCGTGGTTCCTTTGCGAGTGTACCTTCGAGGGGTGCGCAACCCCTCGGGGGCCTCGATCCTCCTCAACCCCCCATTCCCCCCGTTCGGCGAGCAGGTGAGCGTCTCCTCACCCGCGAGGTAAGTTGAAGGGGAAAGAGGGGGCGTTCAGATGCCCCACGGGCCGAGGCACATCTCCCCCCCCCCCNCCCCCCCCCCAGTTTGGGGGCTCCTTGTAGCTTGCGGAACTATTGTACAATGAAGAACCTCGGGGAGAGAGAATAGCTATATGAGAATAGGAATACCAGAATCGCGGGGTCACTTTTTCATATGGGGGAGTTCCCCCCATAGGAGGAGCCGAAGACCACGCGCGATAGGGATAGATCGATCTTCCGCCACGTCCGCGGGATTCCTTGGGGAATTATGACGGAAGTGACGTCAGCAGAGATAATGAAAGCCTGAGGAACAGCCTGTTCATTGTGAGCCCCCCTCTTGATCTATCACGCCATCTTGGAGAACTCTATTAGTGCCTGGAGAACGCAGGGGAGGGACCGGAAGTCGGGCGCCTTCGGGAAGGAAGGATCCTCGGTGGCCATCTTGCGGATTGCGGTGCGGTTTTAGAGGGGGCGGGCTTTTCAATGAGACTTTTTCGAGCTCCGGCACTCGTTAAATCCCTCGTCGTGCTCGCCCCGCAAAGCGCCGCCTCTCAAAGGCGTTTCTTTCGGGGGCTCGTTAACGTAAAGCGTTACGTCAAAAAATATCGTTAATGGCCCTCTCGCAATCAAAGGCGGCCGGCTGGCAATGGCGGCCGACGGCCTAGAGTCGTGGAAACGCACGCTCCACCTCGACCGGTTGTGCCGCGTGACCTAAACTACTCTTCAGGACCCTCTTCGAGGTGTTCTTCAGGGTCTGGGGATGATGATTCTTGGAGCGAACCGCAGAAGGGTGAAGGTGTTTGCGCATGGGTGGCGGAAGCGGGTCAAAGGGTTGCTCTTTAGGGTGGACGGGATGGTTCGAGTCTTCAGGTTTCATTTCTTGGTTACAGGCACCCTGCAGATCGTTGACTCCAAGGAGGTGGACCAGGGCAAGTACGAGTGCGTCGCCAACAACTCGGTCGGCACGGAGTACTCGAAGAGCAACAACTTGTACGTCAAAGGTGAGGATCTGATGGGGCGAGAGATTTGGCGCATTTCTTTTTATGGGGTTTCTAACCCACGTTTCGTCTTCCAGTCAGAAGAGTGCCGCCACAGTTCTCCATCCCACCCAAACCACTCACCACTGTCATGTTGGGCGGATCTGTCACCCTGACGTGTGTGGCTTCCGGGTCGCCGCTACCGTATGTCAAGTGGAGGCAGGAGCCGGCTACTGATCTCACGCCGGATGATAAGGTGCCCCTTGGAAAGAACACCCTGAAGCTCACCGACATCCAGGAGTCGGCAAATTACACGTGCATCGCCCACAGCGAACTCGGCGCCATCGAGGCTACCGCTATGGTCAAGGTCCAATGTAAGGGATTGATTTATTTCGGGAACTCTTCGGGGTTGGTGGTCCAGGTACTCATCATACCTTGCCTGCAGCTCTGCCGGGACCCCCGGAAGACGTCCAGGTCTCCGACATCACCGCCACTTCCGTCAAACTCGCGTGGTCCTACAAGAGACCCGATCAGCTGATGTACTACGTCATCCAGTACAAGCCAAAATCCGCCAATCAGGCCTTCACGGAGATTTCGGGCATCACCACCATGTACTACCATGTCAGGAGCCTCAGTCCCTACACGGAGTACGAGCTCTATGTCATCGCTGTCAACAAAATTGGCCGCGGCCCCGCGAGCGCCCCTGTCATCGTCACCACCGGCGAGACGAGTCAGTATCTCCTGCTGATCAGCTCTTGGATGATCCGTAGTGTGTTCGATAGTCGCTTAGGTGTCAAGTTTGATGTCGAGTGTGGGGTGGAAATGGAGCCTATCATGACACCTGCCTGTCAGGGTCCATGACAGTCAAGTTGAACAGGATCCGGTCGTGGCCTCTGACTGTCAGGTGTCTATGACGATGGCATTTTAAATTCTGGTGGGTTCTGGCGTGACACACAAGTGTCAGGGTCAATGGCAGTGTCCATGGGTGGGGGAGTCTGGAAATGACACTTTCAGCATCAACATTGCCGCAATTCTTTGGCAGTCGGAAGTCTCTTGCTCGCGGAAATGTGTTAAACCGAATCAAGAGATCTCCGATGGCCAAATTCCGGAGCAGCCCTGGAGTGAAATATCGAGTGGAACCGTAGTTAACCTAAACCGACAGTTTTACCCTTTCAGGATCCAGCGACCGGGGACGATATACTTCCAAAGCCACGCTCTCACACGAAATACCAAAATCCATCCGCGGGAACCCATCGCTCTCATGCATGCCCTCGCGGACGTCCGTTTTTTGCTCCCCTAGAAAAGCCCCGTATAGTTTGTCGTGTTTCGTTTGTCGCATTTGCGTTAATTTCGGTACCGCACCTAGTTAGTTTTGCGCACCGCAGGAACACGCTCAGCGGAATTTGTTGGTCGCCTGTTTTTGAGGGAAACTTGTGTACTTTTGTTTCCATGCTGTCCACCGCGGACAAACAAATAATTGGTCCATGTAAGTGAGAAGAAACCTACTTTACCTGTCGTGCCTCTTTTAGTCCCTCTCTTTCTCTCTATTTCTCTTCTCTCTCTCTCTCTCTCTTTCTCTCTCTCTCTTTCTGTGTTTGCACATCGCCGTCGCGCCGCGCCATCTTGCATCGCGAGCATGCCGGGAAGCCGCGTATCTCTATTCTCTCGTTGGCCGTGACCGTCGTCTCGAATCGCACCAATCACGTCGCACCTTTCCTCCACTCTCGTGGCACGGGCCAGGACACTCCCTGGCCTCTGCTCGTAGCACCACACACGACCCCGACAACAGCCCCGCCACCGGTGAAAGCGCGAACCTCGCGGCCGCCAATTTCCGCCACCTCACGCTTTCACCGGCTCACCGTGTCTAAACGAGCTGGGCTAGAGACTTCTAAACCGTGGCATTCGATAGTTGACGCATGAGAGATTGTAGCGATACCCGGGATTTTCGATTTTGAAGACAATTCCGAATTGTTAAACAAGTTCTCTCTGCCCAGTTCTCTCAGTCGCGCCGGCGATCAGAATTCGGACTCGGGCCCTCAAACTCAAGATTTATTCTCTTGATCGATGAAGATCGATTTTGAGAGGCTAACATCGAGTCTGATTCCGATTGGGTGGTTTCTCCGGATCTTTTACCATAGATCAATGGATTCGTAATGCCCTGTCTCTTATTGTAGCCATTAGCCGCCCTGATGCGTGCCGAAGTGAACGTCGGGGATTTTTTTCTTTACTCATTGTTTAACGTTACTCTTATGAAATTGCGAATATATTAATTCCTGGCCCGTCGATCTTCGCTTCGGGCATGGCGGACGATTCTGCGGTGTAAGATTATATTGACATGACTAATAATCGATCACTTTTCCCCCATAGCGGAATCAACTAATGGAGGCGCCAGTAAGTGTAGACTATGTTCTAAGTGTGCTGTAGTGACCAACACGATAACACCCAGATTTCGGCATTTTCCCAAAATTCCATACTTACACAGTTTGTCAGTGTTTGATTAGGTTTGCATTACCCTTGGTACTATCTCTGCACTTGTGTCTTTATCAGCACACTTCCACACGACTCCGTCCTTCATGCTGATCAGACCCAGGATGGTTTCCTCGAAATTGCAAAACCATTGTCCAGGAAGAATCATTTCTCAAAAGAAATAAAGAAACATGGATAGCGTTCGATAAACCATCCTGTACACACCCACACAGACACCCGGTAGACCCTAGTACGCGTAAACGTCAAAATCAGCTGATCGCGACTCCAGCCACTGTCCCACAAGTTTGCAGAAGTGCACCACTTTTGGTTTCCGGTTTGCGAGGGGTTGTCTTCCGGTCATTTTGCTCTTTTGTGTTCCTAATTGGATTGGTAGGTTTGCTGGGGAGTTACAACAGAGGCGTATTAATTTCAGCACCTGGAACGGCACCAAGGAAGGTCCAAGTGCGACCCCTGAGCTCCAGCACCATGGTCATCCAGTGGGAGGAGCCAGAAACTCCAAACGGCCAAGTGACGGTTCGTATCCCGGGGAGAGACGTAGAAAAAGCAGAAAGGGGTTCATTCTAACACCCTGGTGGTCTTTTCAGGGTTACAAGGTGTACTACACGACGGACCCTGACCAGCCGATGGCTTCGTGGCTCTCCCAGATGGTGGACAACAGTCAGCTGACCACCATCTCCGACCTGACCCCGCACTCTATATACACGATCAGAGTGCAGGCGCTGACCAGTGTTGGTCCAGGACCACTTAGTCCTCCGGTCCAGGTGAAGACGCAGCAGGGCGTGCCGAGTCAGCCGGAGATGCTGACGGCGGTGGACATCGGGGAGTCCTCGGTGACGCTCCAGTGGAGCAAGCCGGCTCATGGCGCCGAGAACATCCTCGGCTATGAGCTATACTGGAACGACACTTACGGCAAGGTAACTCCGTTCAGGTTGGTCCCACCCTGCTGACCCAGCGGGGACCTGGGGCCGACTCGAGGACCTGCAAAACGGAAAGCGACCGGCTGTTCACCTAACCTACCCTTTTATTCCCAGCCTCGGGGCCGGGGATTCGCCCTGAGGCATTGCACCCGACCCTGACCTACCCTAATCTGCTCAAACCTAAACTAACCTAAAGAAATCCAAACTAACCTAACCTAACCTAATCTACTCCTCGTGTCTCGCTCCAGGAGAAGTACCACCGGTCCATCCCCGCCACGGAGAACTACACCCTGACGAAGCTGTACCCCAACACCCTCTACTACGTGTGGCTAGCTGCGAGGAGTCAAAGAGGAGAAGGCGCCACCACGATTCCGTACCCAGTGCGCACCAAACAGTACGGTAAGCGAACCATAGGGAGCGAATCCATGCAGCGAGGAGTGCCCTTTCGCTACTGACCCACGATCCTCCGAACCCGGGAGGAGATTCCCGGGTGTCCAGGGGTTCCCCTGGGAGAGATCCCAAAGGAACGACCAGGATCCGGAGGATCGTCGGTCGCGACGGCACAAAGTACAGGTAGGCCACACACGCCGTAGCGCTACGTAGCGCTAGATCGCTCCGACAAGTAGCGCCAGCTAGTATCCGAATAAGTAACTAGAAGGAATCCGTAAGCTAGGGGACATCCCTAGGTAGAGGCGCTAGTATCGGGCTCGGTCGCGGCACTTGGAGGAGCTATACGGTGCGACGAAGTGTGGAGGAGAGTGAGAATGACTGCATGCCAAGTTGCAATAACGAACTCGTTTTTGGATGCCACTTTATATATATATTTATATATATATACGTACATATCATATACATATAAATTGCACTACGCACTGCATCGATATATGTGTGCATTTTGAGCACCTCTTTACCATTCGTCTCGATTAATATATATATATACATATTATGATTACCTTATGATTTACGTATCTGCTCCTATCTGAGTATATCGTGACGTATACTATACTATACTTCATTATAGTCTCTCGTTTGCCCACGGGGATCTCTTGGCTGCGACGAGCCGAGTCTTGCTAATCAAATGTTCTGTTTCTCGACTGTTCAAGGATCTCCGTTGTGTACTCCTTGATTTCTTTATTCTCACTGATTAACATTTATTGTCACTGTAATTATTACATTCCCCCACCTGGTGGGAGTCGGACGACTCCGTTAAGGACGGTCCTCGACCCTGGGGAGACAGCCACCGGCCGCTTCCAAAGTTCGCGCGATTTTGCCCGATCATGACCGCGTTTTCCGATTTTTAACCTAAAAATTGCCGTCCTTTCGCGCCAGTCATTCTCGTCGATTCGGGTTTATTCTATTTTTTAAATAGATAAGATGTCACTTTTGCATGCAAACGCCATTGTATCTGACTTCTGCTCCTGAAGTAATGCTGAACAGTACATTAGGGTACGGTTTAATTAACTGGGGACTTTCCGTTGGGCCGCCATTCCGTTGTGGTGGGCTAAATCGACGAATCGGCGGTCGCGTCGGTGGCTGCCACCCTGGCCTTGTCCTCCATTTTGGTTTCTCCCTATAATTGAGTGTTATACAGTCCCCGGGGCTCCGCCTCACAATGTAAACGGACATGCGACCAGCCCGACCTCCATTTGGGTTTCGTGGGAGCCCCCATCAACCAATCGCTCCAACGGACGAATCGCGTACTACAAGCTGCAGGTCGTCGAAAACGGACGCGCCGACTCGGAGGCCAAGGTTATCCTACTGAACGACACGAATTTCGTGTTGGACGAGCTCAAAAAGTGGACCGAGTATCGGATCTGGGTTCTTGCCGGGACCAGCGTAGGTGACGGGCCTCCGAGTTTTCCTATCCTTGTCAGAACTCACGAGGATGGTATGTATCATTGGCCTGGAAGCAATATTTTTGTGTGATAATAATAACCGCCGCGAGAATTGCCCTCGGAGAAGCGGGGCGCGCCTCACCTGTACAGAGCCACATCTCTTAGGTTAAACCTCGAAAAATTGACATAGATGGGTCGGTGCCACCTCGTAGAACACGAATCCGTCAGCGATTTTCGAATCGCGGGAGAAACGCGCTCGGTAGATAGCTTTTCAGCCGCGAGGTGGAGAGCGCGCGCCTCAGGGCGGCGGCCATGTTTCCGGGCGCCTCGCGCCTACGAGGGCATGCATCGCGCGTGGCCGATGCTCGCGAGGAATCCCGTGAATTCCAAGAGAGCCGCCGTTCACCCAAAGATCCGGAAAAAATATAAAAGCCCGCCAGAAACCGTCGACTGTGGGAAAAGGGAGGAAAGCGGTCGCAATTCGCGACCCGAGGAGACCTCGACGACCTCAGGGAGAGTTCTCATGAGACCCGTAAAACCGTGCCCTTTCCCCTCGAGACTCTAACGGCCAATCAGCTGACACTTTCCCCCTCTACTCTCGGACTCTATCCAAAATCCCCAGGAAGTAACCCCGAACACTCTGTCTTCGTCTTCTTTGCGTTCTTTCTACATTTAACCGAGACACTCCGTTTTCTTGCGAGCTTCTCTTTTCTTAAGCAGCTTTTTCTCACGTCGACGAACACCTTGCCGACTAGGCACGTCGTTTCCCACAACGGCCGAGAGCTTTTCTTTCGCAGGAAAAGGAGAGAGAGAGAGAGACGGAGAGAAAGAGAGAGACCCGGGGATTGGAAGCCGAGGTGCAGAGAGAGAGAGAGAGAGAGGAGAAGACCGCAGGGACCGGTTCCGTCTCTCTTTCTCTGTTCCCTTTTTCGCTGTTTTCGGGAAACGCGATATCTCTCGAGCCTTCCGCTACTTTCGACCTCACAGCAGAATTAAAAGGGACAAAGGAAAAAAAAGAAAAATCCAGAGAACACTCTCGGAAATGTCGAAAAGTCAGAACGCCGCAACCGAAGTTGCTCCCTTCTCACTTTCTTATAAAAAAAAAGGGTAAATAAATATGTAATGTCACTTTTGGTTAATACTAAATTGCTGTGAGGCTTCTTCGTCCTCTTTTCGAAGGTCCTTCCCGGTCCTCCTATTCGCGGTCTCCACCTTTTCCCGCCATTTTCGAGAATCCCTTGACTACCTTGGCTGGCGAAATTTTATATTTTTGGGATTTTTGCGCGGAAACGCAACCGGAGTACGAATTGCCCCCCTACGTCCCCCCCCCCCAGCCGCCCCCTCTGTTCGCATCGGGATTCCGAGATTCTTTTCCAGGTGCACGCAGCCACGGATTTTTTGGACGGCGATTTATGACCATTAATTAGATCACTGATAACAGCTTATCTGGGCCGGGCCGAAAAGCAAATTCGAAAAATCGCCGAAGCTCTCTCTTGACTAACATGTCTTTACAGGGCCTACCCGTTAAAAGTGTCGCAACACTCTCTCTCGTTGCCTCGCATCCTCCTCTGCCTCTCCGTTATGCCTTCGTTTCACGTTCACCACTCTCTTTTCAGTTTTCTTTTACCACCACTCTCGTGCGGCTGGATTTTCCAAAAAGAAAGAAAATAAAAAAAAATATATATATATAAACGTTAGCCTAACGATAAGGAAGAAAGAGACGAGAATTAAGAACGGAGAATGAGCACATCTAGAGATGAAAAGCTCGAAAAAGCGTACCACCCGACACGTTTAACGATGTATACTCACCAGATTTTTGTCTTTCCTTAAAGCCTTTGCAGGAGGATGTGACCCAGGTTTCGATATATACAGCTTTAGTTGTTAAGAATGACATATCACCATTTTAGAGCCGAGCCGGTACGCCCAGATAACCGACATGATATGTGCTAACTCGACATTCGTGTGCCTCGGAAAGAGAGAGAACGCTCGCTGACTGTCCAGGCAGCACAGATTTCCGGAAATGCCACTAGACCGCTAACGGGGCGCCTATTGGCCGTCGAACGGCCGAAACAGATCGGGATAATGTTACCAGGGTAACGAGTAATCCCGAATTTCATGCGACCTCGTATACACTACCTCGTGCATGCTTCCTCGAATCGCCGCAAGGACGAGCAGCGGCGCTCCAGTCGGCCCCACACAGCATGTCGCGGCCATTTACAGGAGATGCCGGAGGAGACGTTAGCGATCTAGGGTACCCTTGGAGAAATCTGTGTTCCTGCGCCGCTCTTGTGCTCGCCCCCTCCTATCACGTCCCCGGAATGTTTTGCCATCGATAGAATTCAATTCGGAGGAAAAACCGCCGAGATATCCGCGTTCGAAAACTCGAGGTGGAGCGCGGAAGGGGCGAGCGCCGCGCGGGACTCGCGCGGGACTCGAAGGCCGACCACGAACCACCGTCTCCACATAGACACACGGACTTGCTAGGATCTGCATGCTCGATCCCGCCGCTGACACTAATTCTTCCAGGACTTGCGAAAACCGAGCGTCGCCGGGAGTGGTTGGAGGTTTTCGGTTCGCTCGGGGGTTTTGCGATGCGTTCCCTCGGGCCAGATGCTTCGATAACGTCCTAACATGTCGGAAGCCGGAGTCTCCTGGCCTGCGAAAAATCCCCTAGGATATCCCTATCCCCCCATTGGCCGTGGGGTCCCCGCGAGTCGCGCCAGAGAGCTTCTCGACACTCAGCCGATATATTCCGCCATGAATACCTTAACGCATATTGTATACCTATATATGACTATCTATATTATATATATACATCTTAGCAGTACACGCGAATGTATATCTCACACACCACTATGTTAGCACTCGACTCTTTTTCACTATATATATATACTACATATATATTTATATATCTCTGATATAAGGCTCTTCTGTCTTTAGTTGAAGTTTAGTTCTATTGTTTGCACATGTTAGAGCATGCATTGATTTGTTTAAATATCCGCCAATCCGTCGTCCCCGCCTGACAACCGCTGCCAACCCTCCAGCCTATGAAAAATTCCCCAGATATACACTGGCACCAACCCAGAGGCCCACCGCCCCCCACTACTGCCGAGCTCTGCCGAGTCTGCGACATAACCTCACCTTCGACTCCCAAGAGTCGACCTTTTCCGATCCCTATGAATGGCATGCCGATGCATGGGACTTTTTGCTTTTCTCCAGATCCCGATTCCGCTATCCCGAGGTCCCTACCGAGCCCTGCATGCTTTTAGTTGGTCCTGAAAGTCGCGAGTCGAGCCTTCGCGGCAGCCGGCCGGCCGCCATATTGGGACCAGCGGCCAATCAGAGCGCGCGGCACCCAAGATGGCGGCGCCCGGCCGCTACCATTGGCCCCCGCCTCGCCGCTCCGCCAATCGGAGGTCGCTGTTAGAGGGAAAATTTGGAAAATTTCCGAAATATCCGAAATTTCCGAAATCTTCCTCCTTCAGGCTAAACTCTCCTCCGAAAGCGGAACTGCGGGCCGCGCCTCGCGAAGGGGCGATCTTATTTCCGCGGGTAAAATCGAGTGAACGGGAAGGAAAAAAAGGGAAAAGGGGAAAACTCGACGCCGAGAGAAAATGCCTGCCGGAAAATCGATATCGCGTACGGGCCTTCTGATTGGTCCGTACGTGTGTACCTCTTGCTCTTATCCGATACACGGTACCCCACCGGCCCTCCGCACTTTTCCTGAGATATCCTCGCGAGGCAGACTCGGCGGGGCAAGGCGCGCCGACAAAAGAGGAAAAAGAGCACAGCTGAAAGCACCTGCCGTGTTAAGCTCGCACCTATTTCTTTTTCTTTTTTTTTTTCCTTTTTTTTTCTGTGAAAAGCACAAGAGAGTACATATGCGTTACGCGCGCACCGTCTTCCATCGCGTTCGCTCTGTCTGTCCGACTTCTTCTTTTTTTTTTTTCTCTTCTTCCCCGGAACGCGCGTCTCTCTTCTTCTATATATATTTTTTTTCCTTCATTTTCCATTGTTGCGTGGAAACACCTCTGCACCACCTCACCGCGCACGCACGCGCGTGCACGCTTATGCACCCGCGCGTAAGCCCGCGCCTCACGCCTCGCGAGATTCGTGGACTCTTTTCTTGTATTTTTTTTTCCTTCCTTTCTTTCTTTTCTTTATATACATGTCAAGTTTTTCAAATTTTATATTAAAGGATCTTTTTGTTTAATTTTTATTGGCTGTGGAGGATTTTAAGTTAAGACGCTCCACGCATCTCCGGCCGCGAGGTGCGCGCGCACGTGGCGAACGCACCCCGGTGCACGCGCGTCACTTGTGAAGATTATCTATCTATATATATATATATCACATGAGCATATAAGAGCACCGAGTATATGGCGATAAGTATACCGCGGCGAGCACCAAGCACTCGAAGAGCACCCAAAGCACCCCACTGTCGACTGTCGTGCGACCTGACCTGCCGCAAGCCGCGGCCTTGACCCGGGTTAAGGCCGGGGTCAAGCCCGCGCCCGGCGTGCAGGTGTGTGAATGCGTGCGTGATTGCGTGAGGGAGGCCCGGCCAAGTCGAATGCGACTTGGCAAGAAATAATGGGAAAACTTAAATTTTCGAAATATACGTCCGACTAAACGTCTTGGGAGAATCATCGCGAGGTTAAGGGGGTGTGAAAGTGTCATGAAGAACCCGTCATACTTTTCTCCGTTCTGGGTACACCGAATCGTTTCAAACTTGACAACGTGAATGTGGAGGCTATGAGGAAGGTCCCGACACCCATGAAATATTTTGTATAAAGAAAAAAATGTCAAGATGCCTATAAACTGATTTTTGAAAACTTGAAATTTCGGGGTCGTCGGGGCCTTCTTTATGTTGTTATGTTATATTCATGTTGAGGAGTTTAAGATTATTTGGTATACTCAGTTTGGAGAAGTTTTGTTAACGAGGGCTTCTTTTATGCCACTTTTATGTCACCTTAAGGGGACTGTGGAGAGGTGGCAAGATGGCGGAGTGACGGTCCAAGGATCGGTTTTCCGTGCACATTTGAATACCAATACT